ATTCCCAGCCCAAGCTCAGGTCCAGCCTTTAGCATGAGGACACAGAGAGGCGGGATGAACTCCTGGATCAGGCCTGGGAGTGGGAACAGGCACTGCTGTGTAAAACCCCAGGAACAATGACCACTGCCTCCCACCGTGGCACAGAGAACCCGCCTGGCCTCACCTTGATGACAAAGTCCCCGAGCTGCAGGTCACTCAGGATCTCGTGCACGATCTTCAGGCACTCGGCGTCGGGAATCATCGGGTCGAACTGCCCGGCGATGTCAAAGTCCTGGGGGCAGAAGCAGCAACGGAGGCTCCTGGCACAGCTGAGGGGCTTTGGCCGGGCACACCACACTGCTCCAGCCAGGAAAACCCTCCTGCCACCCCAACACTCACGCACTGGTAGAACTCGCGGTAGCGGCCCCGGGTGGTGGCCGGGTTGTCCCTCCTGTACACCTTGGCCACGTGGTAGCGCTTCATGTTGTTGACCTTGTTCATGGCCAGGTAGCGAGCGAAGGGCACCTGGGCCCAGGGAGTTAAGGATGGGAACAGGGAGATCCCTGGAGCTGCAAAGCTGAACCTCCCAGGCCCCCCGACTCCCTTTCCCTTTGCCAGCTGCTCCCCAGTTTTTTTCACAACGATGGTGGGATTTTTGGGGTGTCCTGTGCAGCGCCAGGAGTTGGACTTTGATGTTCTCTGTGGGTCCCTTCCAACTCAGGATATTCTATGATTTTTAGGGAAATCATCAGCCTGGACTGCGGATGAGTAGAATGAAGCAGCTGAGCTCCTCCAACACTGGGACAGCTCCATTCCCTCCTCCTGACCCACTCAGGACAACCCTATGCACACACTGACCCTCTCTCGTCATTCCACCCTCTCACAGTGTGATCAGAGGGAATTCAATGCACAGCACAGCCCCACAGACATTGAACAGGAGAGATTTTGGGTGAGATGTGCAGGTGGAGAAGGCCTGGGATGGGCTTCTGCAGCAAACACTTCTCCAGATGGCACTGAGAAGGTGGGACGGGCAGGGCAGAGGTGGGGACTGTAACTGGGAGAAGATAAAACCAGCACAGAGGAGCAAACTGGTGCAGGTCTGCAGCCTATGGGAGGGGCTTTGCTGTGGGTCCTGGCCTGGCTGGGGGGTGGTATGAGGTGGGGTAATGACAGTGACAGCCAGGCAGGGTGGACAAGGGGGTCTAACACCCCAGTGGGTCCTGCAGGCAGGGCAGGGCGAGGGGGACCCCACAAGGTGGTATGCCAGCATCCCCTCGGGGTGCCACCGTCCCCTGGGGAGCTCAGGATACGGTGAGGTCGTAGCGCAGGGCCAGCAGCTCCCCTCCCTGGTCCTGCAGCTCATAGATGAGCTTCGTGTCCTCCCCGTACTTCCCCATCAGCGTCTCCTGGGGAGGAACGAGGGGGCTGGTGACCAGGTGGTTCTGGGGGGGCACAGGGTCCCCTGGGATGGGCACAGAGTTCAGTCCTCCCCAGAGCCTCTCAAGTCAAGCCGGAGTGGCCATTACACACATCCCCCCTCCAGCCCCCTCAGACCTGGGTCCACCTCCCCATCCCCCCACAGGTCCCAAGAGGGACTGTCACCCCTGCCCTCCCCACACGAGGGGATCCCCCAGACTTGCCCTGAATCCCTGGGGGAAGACGGAGCTCCCCAGTCTCACAGGAGGGAGTGTGGGGGGTGTGTCCCACAGCCCATATGGGGGTCCCATCCTGCAGGAAGGAGCAGAGGGGGTTCCCACAGCCCCTATGGGGGTCCCACCCCACACCAAGGGGGTCCTCCTGCAGGAATGAGCAGAGGGGAGGGTCCCACAGCCCCTATGTGGGTCCCGTCCCACAGAAGGGAGCAGAGGGGGGATGTCCTACAGCTCCTATGGGGGTCCCATCTGGCAGGAATGAGCAGAGGGAGGGTCCCACAGCCCCTATGCAGGTCCCATCCCACAGGAGGGAGCAGACTGGGGGGTCCCATTCCGCAGAAAGGAGTAGGTAGGGGGGTCCCACAGCCCCTATGAGGGTCCCGTCCCGCAGGAAGGAGCACAGGGGGGTCCCACAGCCCCTATGGGGGTCCCGTCCCGCGGGAGGGAGCAGAGGGGGGATGTCCCACAGCCTCACCCGCAGCTCCAGCACGGGGGTGTCGATGGCGGCCGCCCCGTGCCGCTTGAAGCAGGACACCACGGCGCCCAGGAGCCGCTCCCGCAGCGCCGCCTGCGCCGGCGGGTGGTCGCGGGTGCCCTGCCCGGGACACGCAGAACAAGCCGTGAGCGGCGGGGCCGCGCGGGAACGCTCGGTACCCACCGGCGCCGCCCGCGATCCCCGCCTTTACCTTGGGCGTCTTCAGCACCGGCACCACCCTCCCGCCGCCGCCGCCGCCGCCGCCGCCGCCCCGGGACAGAGCCGGCGGCCAGGACCGGGGGATGCTCTCTCGGTTCCCAGCGAGGCGGTGCCGCGGCGATGCCCGGCGGACGAAAGCGGCGGCGGCGATGGGGCCGATCCGCAGCATGGCCGGGACCGGGACGGGGACCGGGGCACCGGGAGCGCGGGGACACGTGACACCGGCGGCACGTGACACCGGCGGCACCGGGAGCGCGGGGACACGTGACACCGGGGGCGCACGTGACACCGGGCGGGAGGCCGCGCTTTACGGCGCCGCGCGACAGTTCCCGGTGCCGTCCCCCCTCAGGCCGCCATGGCGTCGGGCAGCGGGGTGGGTACCCCCGGGGTAGGAGCTGCCGCGCCTCCCGACGCTCCTCTCGGGCTCGCCGGGGCTTGGGGAGGGTCGTGGGGGCTGCGCTGAGGGAGGGAGGGCGGGCAGCGGGGCAGGGCCGCGCCGCGCTGGGGGCCCGCGGCAGGGCCGCGGCGTGAGGGACTCCCTCGGGGACGAGGGGTGCGGTGGGAGAGAGCACATGCCTGCTCTTTATGTCTCTGTGTGTGGGCGGTGGGAGGTTTGGGGCCCTGTGAAAGGCCCTGATGTGTTAAGGGCTGGAAGGGCCCCGCCGCGGTCGCGCCCATCGGGAAGGTGGAGGGTCGCCGTCCCGGGAGGTGTTTGAGGAAAGGGCGGACGTGGCACTCGGTGCTCTGGGCTGGGTGACGAGGTGGTGTGGGGTCACAGGGTGGACTCGGTGGTCTCAGAGGGGTTTTCCCAGCTCAGTGATTCTGTGATCCTCCCCCTGTCCCAGCCTGAGGAGGTTGAGTCGCCCCAACCCCCCGGGGGTCCCACCCCACCCCAGGGAGCTCCTGGGATGGGCAGCGGCTCGTGCAGGCGTCTCCCTCCTTCCCTTCCCTGTCTCCCCACTCCCTGTGGCTTCTCGGCCGTCCTGGCTGTTTCCCGGCTGGATTTCACACTGTCCTGCTGGAGAAGCAGCTCTGCAACTCCCTGACAGGAGGGTGGAGCCGGGGGGGGGTCGGGCTCTGCTCCCGGGGAACAAGGAACGGGATGAGAGGAAACGGCTCGAGCTGTGCCAGGGGAGGGTCAGGTTGGACATCAGGAGGAATTTCTTCCTGGAAAAGGTGTTCAGGCGTTGGCAGGGGCTGCCCAGGGAGGTGGTGGAGTCCCCATACCTGAAGGTGTCCAAGGAAGGCCTGGCTGTGACACTCAGTGCTCTGGGCTGGGGGACAAGGTGGGGATCGGGCACAGGGTGGATCCATGGGCTGGGAGGGCTTTTCCAGCCTCAATGATTCTGTGATTCTGTGAATGCTGAGATGGGGTGGGTGAGTGGAATGCTGTGAGTGTAGTCTGGCTGGACAGCCAAGGTGGTTTGAACACCTTCAGTGACACCCCAGAGCTGCCAGCAGTGTAGTGGCTGTGTTTTTCTGCCTTTTCTGCTTTTTTTGGCCCATCTTTCCTTCCTTGAAGCCACTTGCTGAGAAGTGAGAAGGGAGGCCCTGGCACAGGTTGCCAGTGTCCAAGGCCAGGTTAGACAGGGCTTGGAGCAACCTGGGCTAGTGGAAGGTGTCCCTGCCCATGGAAGGGGATTGGAACTGGATGATCTTTAAGGTCCCTTCCAACCCAAACCATTCTGGGATTCACTCCATGATTCCATGAAGTGAGCAGTGATGGAGGTGAGCAGCAGGATTTCTCCCCAGGAGGAAGATGGGGCCTCTGGTTTATTGTCAGCTGCCAGCTGAGAATTCCTGTTGGATTGAGTCAGGCTTGAGACTCCTCTATCATTTAATAGGCTTTGGTGCTGATACTGAGCAGATCATTGATGCCTATCTCAAGAGGGAACAGGAAGCTGTGGGGCACTTCTGGTTATTAATTGTTGTTAGTAATTTGGTAAATACTCTCTGAGATAACGATTTTGGGGCTTGCAGCCCCCCTGCCTCCACCAGAGCAATTCAGAAACATCCCTTCAGGTATTGTCCAACCAAGATCTTGTCGAGCAGTTGGGCTTAATTTCTTTCCCCATGCCTGGATGAGGCAGATTGGTAAAAGAGCTGCAAAAGGCTCTTTTACTTTTATTACAACAGGAGAGAGAGAAGCAGCAAATAAACCTCCCCCTCTGCAGGGGGATTTGTGATAATGCCTGGCATGCAGGAGAGTCTGGAAAATACCCCCAAACGTTAATTTACACTCTGTGATATTTTCTTTTCTTTTGCTCAGGGTGGTTAATAAAACCTGTTACGACATCCTTAAAGTGCTTAAGAAAGCTCTGGGAATAAATGAGAATTTTTCTACGCCTCCCCAAGGCATTTTCATCCCTATCAGTAGTTGTTCGTTCCATTTGAAGGATTGCCAGAGGAGAGAACCTTAAATGGCTGTGCTGCTGCTGTAGCTCCAAATGGGATTTGTGTCCTTTGGATTGTGATTGGATTCTTGATTTGGCTGAACGGAGAAGGCGGGGGGAGCGTGGGGGTCCTTCTCTCCCGGAGGTGTTTTTAAATACATCAGTCCTTTTTTTAATGTGAAACCGAGAGGCTCTCCCTGCCGTGCTGAGGGAAATGCAGCTCTGTCCAAATGGGAGTTATCTGCTCAGGGAAGTCAGGAAGTGGCTGAGTTAAACCATGACTGATCCCAGGTACAGGGGCCTGAGGTGCAGATGGGGCAGACACTGGGAAGAGCCTGAGCTGGTTTGGTTAGAGTGGGTGTGGGTGGAACAGAGATTCTTGTGCAGTCACTTTTGCTCTCAGCATTGAGGACTGGGTGAAAATCCACTCCAAAAAATAGTCTTTGTCTTCGTCAGTGCCTTCACTTGAATTCAGCCTCTCTTCACACATGTGCTGCATCCAGCTCTGGGTCCTCAGCACAGAAAAGAAATGGACCTGTTGGAGCGAGTCCAGAGGAGGCCATGGAGATGCTGCAAGGGCTGGAGCCCCTCTGCTCTGGAGCCAGGCTGGGAGAGCTGGGGGTGTTCACCTGCAGAAGAGAAGGCTCCAGGGAGACCTGAGAGCCCCTTCTGGTGCATAAAGGGGCTCCACGGGAGCTGGAGAGGGACTGTGGACAAGGGATGGAGGGACAGGACAAGGGGGAATGGCTCCACACTGCCAGAGGGCAGGGTTAGATGGGATATTGGGAAGGAGTTCTTCCCTGGGAGGGTGGTGAGGCCCTGGCACAGGTTACCCAGAGAAGCTGTGGCTGCCCAATCCCAGGAAATGTCCAAGGCCAGGTTGGATGGGGCTTGGAGCAACCTGGGCTAGTGGAAGGTGTCCCTGCCCATGGCAGGGGTTGGAACTGGATGATCTTTAAGGTCCCTTCCAACCCAAACCATTCCATGATTCCATGAACTTACCCTGTCACTGCCAGACAGAGCTCTGTGGAGCTGCTGAAGGCCCAGTGCCTCGGAGGTGTTTCTGTAGGAAGCTGCAGGAGCTTTCTGTGCATTTTGTAGAGGTGCTTCCCTGGTGCTTCCAAGCCCTGCCTTGACAGACAGGGTTTCAGAGCCTTTTCTGGTTTACTTTGCTGTACTTGGAAATCCCACACTGATGCCTCTGATTTCACGGCAAAGTCGGCATTTTGATGCCTGTAACAGCCTTCCCTGCTCCTGCATTTTAATCAAACTCTCTCTAACTCAGACTGTGTTTCACAGCTTCCTCATCTGTTATTTGCAACTTGGGTTCAATTGACTCTTGGAAGAAGTTGGTGTAATCTGTGCTGTGCCTGTCAGGGGGCACTTCCCAGGTCTTAGATCCAGCACTTTCAATCCCGGTTGGGTCTAGTTTTAAAGGCAAAATCTTGGATGATCATCTCAGGAGCTATTGAGATAAACTCATTTCTTCTCTCAGTGCTCTGAAATCCTTCTGTAAGTACCCAGAGCCACGCTGAGAGTGATTCTCTTAAGCCACATCCATAATTCCTAGATAGGAAAACAAAGGACATGGGGATATAACATAATACCCCTAATTTACTGCCGTGGCCTCACAGGCTGAGTGATTCCACCTCTTTCCCCCCTCAGAGGTGATCAGACTGTATGATAAATGTTAATGCACTTTGTTTGCCTCCCAGACCAAGAACCTGGACTTCCGCAGGAAGTGGGACAAGGATGAATATGAGAAACTGGCGGAGAAGCGGCTCACGGAGGAGAGAGAAAAGAAAGATGGTGCGTGGTGTGCTGGCCCCAGGCAGGCTGTGCTGTGCTGGCAGCGAGTCTCCCAAATCCCTGGAGTTTGGGAAGGAGAGAGAAGCTAGAAGTCAAGTCCCAGAAGGGAAAAACTGGCTTGCTCCAATCCTTTTTCCTGTGTTTGCCACTGAGTGCATTTTTTTGACAACAGGAATTAGTGAGAACCTTTGGGGAGGGAGGGGAACAGTCAGCCCCTGAAACAAGGAGCTCTCAGAATATGACCCGAGTCCGAGCTGGAGATACCTCAGAGATGTACCTGGTTTTATTAGGAAGAAATTATACCCTTTACTGATTTAAAAACAAAGGTGCATTTTCTGCATGGATCAGGTGGTCCCAGGTTCCCAGCAGGCCCCTCTTCACCAAGGGGAACATCAAATCCACCATGTCAGGCTTGACCTTTTGTTTATGTTTCAGGCAAACCAGCTCAGCCCGTCAAAAGGGAACTTCTGCGGCACCGAGACTACAAAGTGGACCTGGAATCCAAGCTGGGGAAAACCATCGTCATCACCAAAACTACCCCTCAGTCAGAGATGGGGGGGTAGGTCATGGTCTTGTTGGAGTCTCAGAGTTGTGCTGGGGGGCTGTGACACAGTAGGGACCCCTCACAGGGCACCAGGAGCTGGTTTCCTCCTGTGTTTGGAGCCTGGGGCAGTGGGACTGCACTGGTTTACACCTAAATTGTGTCTTCTGGGGTAACATGTGGAAGAGACCCAGCAGGCTGAGCCCCTTTGGACATTATTCCTTGATATCAGTGTTGTCCAACTGTAGGAACAACAAGGAGGCAAATCTTTGCCACCTGCTTGGGTTTCTTTAGCCAGACCTGCTTGCACTGAGAGCAGGGCTGCTGCTGATTTGAGATTCTGGTTTGGATATCTGTGCACAGGGAATGGGAGAAACATCCAGATACCTGTCCTCAGGAATGGTGTTTGGCCACTGTTTGTGTGGA